CCCCGCGGCGGGGCCCGGCCGCCCAGCTGCGATGGCGGCGGCGGCGGCGGCTCCGGCCGGGTCCTCCCGCTGCAGCCGCTGCGGAGCCGCCGAGTCACGGCGCCGCGGACACGCGCCCGGCCCGCCTGCCTTCGCCGCCGCCGCCACGGCTGCCTCGGCCGCCAGCGCGCCCCCGCCTCCGCGCGCCCCGCCCCGGGTGGGGGGCGGCCGGGGGCGCGGGGGCAGCACCCAGGTGGGACCTGAGAGGGCAGCGGCCCTGGAGCGGCGCTGGGGAGGGGTCGCAGAGGCTAAAGGAACAGCTCTAGAGGCACGGTCCGAAGGGGTGGAACTGGAAGTCGGGGTCTGGGGGGCAGCCCTGAGCGGGAGGGGGAAGAGACTCAATCCGTAATCCTAGAGGTCGAACCCTCTGGGTGGCTCTAGGGGAGCATATCTGAGGTTGGGGGTCCGGAGACCTGGGGAGAGGGTCCAAGGGAGTGGCATCGGAGGAGAGGGGCTCTGAGAGGCAGCCTGGGGGAGGAGACTGAGGAGCGGCCCCGGGGTACAGGCGGGGTTGGAGAGCAAGCTAAAGAAATAGCACTGGGTCTGTGAGAGTGACACCGGAGGGGGTCTCCCAGCGGCTCTCCTAGGCCGGGGTGGTGGGGAAGGAGATAGAGAAGACGAAAGAATAGACCTGAGGAGCGCTGAAGAGGGGGCAATCCTGGGAGACATTAGGTGAAGTTGAGGTGAGGCTCAGTCCTTCATCCCCTAGAGGGAGCGAGCTCACCCAGCTGGGAAATCATCTTTCATCCAAAACAACCCATATTTATCAAGCGCTTTCTATTTGTAGGGCTCTGGGCTACTTGGGATACCGGAAAGAAAGAAAGATGAAAGAAAGAAAAGAAAGACAGAAAGAAAGAAACCCCAAACCCCAAAACAAAAGCAGAAAAGAGAAGGCCAATTTCCTGAAGTGCAGAGGTTTACAGCTTGATGAGAAAACATAAACGCAAAGAAAAACGGGATGGCAAACACCACGTGTTAACAAGGATACGGGCAAGCTGCTCCAGGGGTCCAGGGAGACCTGATGAGGGGCTGGGGAAGTTAGGGAAAAGTGTAATAGAGGGGGGACTCTAGCTAGGCCCTGAGGGAAAGGCTGGATTTAAACAAGGGTAGGGTAGAGGAGAGGGCATTTCACGTAGGAAGTTGAGGGTGTACAGGATGTGTTTGAGGCAGCAGATACGTTTCTCTGGAGCACAAGGTTCCTATAGGAAAGTGTTGGGAAGTGAGGGAAATAGTACAGGACAGTGAATGCTAGGATAATAAATTTGGGTTGTATTCTGAAGGAAAATGGGGAGGGGTGGTGATTAAAGGTGTGTGTGTGTGTGTGTGTGTGTGTGTGTGTATGTGTGTGTTTAAGCAAGATGATGTGTGAAAAATAGTATTTTATGGTTACTTGGTAATTTGGAGATGCAAAAAGGGCACAGGCTTTAGCGTCAGACCTACGTTCATATCCTGGCTCTGTTCCATTTTTATAAAATGATGCTAGTATTACTGTATAAGATTGCTGTAAGAATGAGGTGGTTGACACTTAATTGATATTCCATGTTACTTTCCCTCCCAGTGGAGAGAATAATGACCAGAGGAGGCAGAGAGATTGGTTAGGAGACTAGTGTAATTGTCTAAGTTTAACGAAACAAGGATAACAAGCATAATTAACATTTATTGAGTGCCTAATACATACCAGTTACTGGGCTAAGCACTTCCCTGCACAATATCTCATTTAATCTTTATAGATAAGCCCTATGAAATAAATGCCATTATTACCCCCAATTTAGGTTAAGAAAGTAGAAGGCTCTGAATAAGTCTGCCAAACTTGTGTGATTCATAAATGATAGTGCTGGATCAATTTGACTTTAGAACCCATTTTTTTCTAGGATGAGGGTGGGAAAAGAGAGAGATTTAAGAGACAATGGGCATACAAGAAGAGGGAAAGGAGTTTGGAGTGACGGCAAATCGAGAAAGATGGATGGCAGCATCTTCGCAGAAGTGAAATCATAATGTGGAGGAACTGGCTTGAAGGAGGTGATGAGGGGCTTGGTTTTAGACTTCCTGAAACTGGGGTGACCACAAGATCTGTGAGATGGGTATGGGAATGAGTTCAGAAGAGGGTGGAGAATGGATACTTTGGACACCTTCGGATAAATATGGTAGTTGAAGCTGAAAGAGAAGAGTTGAAGAGAATAAAAGGCCAAGGGTTCCATCCTGAGACACATATTCAGGGCCTGAGAAAAGTCAAGCCAAAAGTGAGCCTAAAGATTGTCCAAATAATGAATCAGGATTATGCAGTATCACTGGAAAGAAGAGGAGAGGTTCAAAGAAAGGGAAGGAGTTGGTTGGATGCAGTGACTCACACCTGTAATCCCAGCACTTTGGGAGGCAAAAGTGGGCAGATTATATGAGTCCAGGAGTTTGAGACCAGCCTGGCCAACATGATGAAATCCCAACTCTATAAAAAATACAAAAATTCGCCAGGCGTAGTGGTGCATGCATTTATTCCCAGTTACTTGGGAGGCTGGGGCCTGAGAATCTTGAACCTGAGAGGCAAAGGTTGGAGTAAGCCAAGATCGATGGAGCCACCATACTGTAGCCTGGGTGACAGAGTGAGACTCTGTCTCAAAAAAAAAAAAAAAAAAGAAAAAAAGAGAGAGAGAGAGAGAGGGAAGGAGTTGGCAGTTTCAGGGAAATCAAAGAGACTGAAGACTGTATTAACACCATTGAATTGAATAGCTCACAGTCCCAGTAGGGAGATGATAGAGACAAATTATTGTGGTCACATGATGAGTTATGACATGGATGAGAACAAAGTGTTGTGGAAATATTGAGGAAAGAGCAATAAACTGCCCCAAATTGGAAGGTTCGGGCGGGGTTATGTTCCAGAAGGAGGAAATAGTATATTCAAGGAATAAAAGGGAACAGACTGGACTGAGCTCTGTCTTATTCCTCTCTTTTCCTCTAATGCCAATGCTCATGGAACTGCCAATGATGATATAGCACTGTGGTGGTCCACTTTGACCAGCTCCCAAGGATGGTGGCTGTGGATGGTAGTAGGTATTGATAATATGGAAAGAAGAGGCTGATAGAAGTTAATGGTTACTTATAAAATGGATCCCTAAGATCATCCTCAGTAAGAGGATGGTCCAGAGACTGCTGTGAAATCAGTTCAAGAGGAGGTTTAGAAGGTTTCAGAGCAACATTATTAAATTGAACATGGAATCACTGGAAATCTGACTTCTCAGCCTCTAGTCACCATGACGAGCATGGGATAAAATGGAAACTACACTTGACTTAGTGTGGGATACCTGATTCAAGCACTGGCTCTGTCACTGACTTCCAGTGTGCCTTTGAGCAAGTCATTTCATTTCTTTAGGCCTTAGTTTCCTCCTTTGTAAAATTCAATGAATGACCTCTGCCTTCTCCACTTCATGGGAAAGACCACATGAATGGGATTCAGTTAATGAACTATATGGTAAACTGACCAGATGTTAGGGAAAACTTTGAAATTGATAATCTTAACAAGAAATATGTTGGGGCTGGTGCAGTGGCTCATGCCTGTAATCCCAGCACTTTAGGAGGCCAACGCAGTGTATCATCTGAGGTCTGGAGTTCGAGACCTGCCTGGCCAACATGGTGAAATACAATGGACTGCAAGGATATTAAGAGTGAGTAAAATTGGACTTTGTTTAAAAAAAAAAACCCCATCTCTATTAAAAATACAAAAATTAGCTGGGTATGCTAGTGGGCACCTGTAATCCCAGCTACTTGGGAGGCTGAGGCAGGAGAATTGTTTGAACCCAGGAGGCGAAGGTTGCAGTAAGCCAAGATCATATCACTGCACCTGGCCTGGGCGACAAGACAGAGATTCTGTCTCAAAAAAAAGAAGAAAAAGAAAAGAAAAAAGAAATATTATATTGGCTGGGCACAGTGGTTCACACCTATAATCCTACCACTTTGGGAGGCCAAGGAGGACAGATCACTTGAGCCTGGGAGTTCAAGACCAGCCTGGGCAACATGGTGAAACTCTGTTTTTACAAAAAATTTTTAAAATGTAGCTGGGAGTGGTGCACGTACCTGTAGTCCCAGCTACTCAGGAGGCCGAGGAGAGAGGATCACTTGAGCCCAGGAGGCAGAGGTAACAGTGAGCTGTGATCAGGCCACTGTACTTCAGCCTGGGCAACGGAGCTAGACCCTGTCTCAAGAAAAGAAAAAAAGAAATGTTATATCAGCACCTGCGCTCACTGTAGAGAAACTGGATCCCCTCTTCCCTTCACCTCCTTTCATATTTGTTTATTTAATTTTGAGTCGGAGTTTTGCTGTTTTGACCAGGTTCAAGTGAAGTGGTGCAATCTTGGCTCACTGCAACCTCCGCTCCCTGGGTTCAAGGGATTCTCCTGCCTCAGCCTCCTGAGTGGCTGGGATTACAGGTGCCCGCCACCATGACCAGATAATTTTTGTATTTTTAGCAGAGATGGGGTTTCTCCATGTTAGCCAGGCTGGTCTCGAACTCCTGACCTCAGGCGATCCACCTGCCTTGGCCTCTCAAAGTGCTAGAATTACAGGCGTGAGCCACTGCGCCCAGCCTCATCTTTCTTTATTCAACAAATATTTATTAAACATCTTTCTGGTGCTAGATGCTGTGAGTGGGCTGGGGATGTAAAGAAAATCAAGTTACAATTGCTTTCTTTAGGAAGACAGTCAATTGGGAGATAGATGGTTATACAGATAACCAGATAACATAATATGTGCTATATTAGAAACATGGGAGTAGAGAGGAGGGAACAACTAAGTACCTTAGGTGGTACTTAGTTGTTCCACCTTAGGTACCACCTTAAGTGGTACTTAGTTGTTGAGACAGCCCTTGAGTGACCTGCAGGAGTTTTGCTATATAGAATGGAAGGGAACCCTATGTACAAAGACACAGATATACATGGAGACAAAAACTATTTACATAATAATAGGAAGACATTATTTTCTTTTTAAACTCTCATTTTCCCATGAGAGTACTGGGTAGTTTTCTAGGGCTTCATGGCACATTATAACAGATTAAATGAGAAGCAGATAGAATAATACAACTATCATCTATTAAACCAGACATAAAACAGATTTTCAAAAATGTAAAACAATAGCATTCCTCTCACTAATTTTTTTGCTTTGGAAAATGTAGCTATTTTTAAAATAAAAATGTTATTTACGGTTGATCGTGGTGGCTCATGTCTGTAATCCCAGCACTTTGGGAGGCCAAGGTGGGCAGATCACAAGGTCAAGAGATCAAGACCATCCTGACCAACATGATAAAACCCTGCCTCTACTAAAAATGTGAAAATTAGCTGGGCATGGTGATGCATGCCTGTAATCCCAGCTACTTGGGAGGCTGAGGCAGGAGAATCACTTGAACCCAGGAGGCAGAGGTTGCAGTGAGCTGAGATTGTGCCATTGCACTCCAGCCTGGCTGCAGAGGGAGACTCCGTCTCAAAAAGAAAAGAAAAGAAAAGAAAAAAATGTTATTTATGTTAACATGTTTCTTATTGTTATTTTAAATGAATTAATATATAAATATTTTTAAATTTCTCAGTTTTGATTCCTAGTTGATAATTATCAATAGATATAATCCACACAAACAAAAGTTATTTGGAGTTCTGAATTTTCAAGTTATTTGGAGTCCTGATTTTTTTTTTTTTTTTTTTTGAGACAGAGTCTTACACTGTTGCCTGGGCTGGAGTGCAGTGGTGCAACCTTGGCTCACTGCAACATCTGCTTCCCGGGTTCAAGCCATTCTCCTGCCTCATCCTCCCAAGTAGCCAGGATTACAGGTGCCTGCCACCACACCAGGCTAATTTTTTGTATTTTTAGTACAGATGGGGTTTCACTATGTTGGCCGGGCTGGTCTCAAATTCCCGACCTCATGATATACCCACCGTGGCCTCCCAAAGTGTTGGGATTACAGGCATACGCCACTGCGCCTGGCCTGATTTTTTGTTTAGTTTTGTTTAGTTTCGTTTTGAGACAGGGTGTTGCCCTGTCATCCAGGCTAGTGTGCAGTGGCACAATCGTAGCTTACTGTAGCCTCAAACTCCTGAGCTCAAGTGATCCTCCCATATCAGCCTTTCAAGTACCAGAGACTACAAGAATGAACCACTGTGCCTGGTCCTCAATAATTTTTTGAGTGTAAAGAGGGTCCTGAGACCAAAAGGCTTGAGAACTCTGTTCTTGGCAGAACGACCCAAAAGAGAGGAGCAAAATGATAATATTTGACTTCACTCA